GCGTGTTCGTTCCCACCGCATACATCTGCGGTCCGGAGTTTTGCAAATATCTCAGCATTATATACGAGCTATTTTTAATATTAACATTTATACTCATATATTAGCTGCACTTTCCTATCCACTTGAAAACGGGATATCTTTGATTTTTTGGAATTAATTTGCTTCAGTTCTCTCAACGCTCATCGACGGGCTTACCTTCGCTGCCGACGCCTTCTGGTGATAGGATGGGCGGCGGCTTTCGCGCTCAGTCTTCCGCAAGTGGCTATTTTCAGGGTTTTCAAACCGTACAGCGAGAAGGATTTTAGGTTTGTCCGAATGATTTCCAGTTTTTTTTTCAATTTTTCGTCAATTTTATACTGACCAGCCAATCCTGCGTTGTACTATTTAGGTTATTATAATCATTACTTAATTTACTTTGTACTTATACTTTATACTTTGACGACCTGTCCTCATTGGTTATGCGGGCCCCAAAATATTTCCCACCTTTTTGGAGTTTTTCTGGTTTAGCCATTGTGATTCCCTGGAGTCCCGAGATCAGCCAGACCAAAATCTGCTCCAGGTCACCGTTACCACCACAGGAAGTCGTCGCCCTTGTGGATGAGACGGAGATTTGCCATCATGCGACTAGATTGGTACAAGGACGGTGACAGATACTGCTATCGGTTTACTTTATTTGGGCTTTTTGAGGAAAACGCTGGACTCTTTCTCAGCTTGGAGACCATGTCAGGGGTGAATCCCCCGCTGTACATCGCAGCCGAACACTCAGGAACACCTCCCAGCTACGTTGTGGCGGTAAATCGTTGGGGGGGGGGGGTGATAATCATTATTACTCGTTAATTATTTTAAATAAGGTGATAAGAAAAGGTGGTGCTCTTCTTTTTTACACGGATGATTAGCACTATTTCCTCAAATGATGAGTATCGAAAACCTGTTTCTAACACCAAAATATGCTGCAGAAATCGCATCTATCGTGTGTTGGGGAATATCACTATTCCTAGTAGTATTTTTTGCCTTTAGATGTAATCATAAGCAGAGGTTAAAAAAATCTTCCTGTAAAGTTCGCTATTTTCTAGAAGAAGTGAGTTGTAATCCTCGAGGAGCATTCGAAGGATGACTTTTCTCATTCGCTCATGGCATACGGTCAGAAATACGGAAGCAAACACACGTAGTTTCTTTTTTGAATTATATTTCTCCCATGCTCCTTCACTAATTAGCTGTCTACAGAAATTAGAATGCCTGAGCGTGCGTTCAATGCAGAATTATTTAGCTAAGGAAGTTACGGGAGAAAAACCCTCAGCAATCGATGGCTACTCTTGAGAAGCTGTTGAAGGATTGATGAATTCTGTACAAAGAATGTCGAAAAGAGGGCTACATTATGTAGTTTCTGTAGCAAATTTTAATGACAACAAACGTGTTAACTTATTCAGCTGACAGTATTTGCTTAGATTTTTTAGTTTATCAGGAACTAATCGCAGTTACCTGACATCTTATAATTACGGTTAAGCAAAATTTTTGATGCGGAATATGAAGAAATCGATCTGATAAAAATGAAATCCCAAAATGTCCAAAAATGTCCAAAAATGATAAAAGACAGTCCTTATGCTTTGTGCATGGAAAAAAATATCTTGGATCTTTCTACTTTACAATGGACACGTCTCCTTGACCACAGTCGTTAAAGCTGAGCTGTGATTGAATGCTTGCGTTAGGTGCATAGCACTTAGCCCATCTTCACGATGAATCGTGTAGATTAATCCTCAGCATTGTTTCTTATTTCAGATCAGCACCATTCGATAGAAGTAGCTGAGAGACAGGCGAAACAAAGGATCCGCATGGTGTGGTGGTGAACGCGTTACTCCCCCGAAAGGACAATAGCGCGTTCGATCCCCACCATAGACAGACACCTCCGGTCCAGAGTTTTGCAAATATCTCAGCAATATTGTGGTTGTATTTGGCTTAATACCCTGCCATAAAAATTACAGAAAGCAGAAAATAAACGGCAAACATTGTGAATTATTGTTAGTACTTTATTATTATTATCATTGCGAGGCGAGGATAGCGCAGTGGTTTGTGGTGTCGTCGATCAGAAAGCAAAAGGTGCTGATTCGATCTCCGCCTCTGCGCTCTTCTTCACTCCACGTGGGAACCGCTTAGCCTGACTGTCTCCGATGTTGCATGGAGAATTAACTTGGCCAGTATTCTACGAAATTCGTAAAGAAGATGAAATCTTTATGCAGCAACTAAAAGAACGCGCGAAATGTCCGAAGACCATTGTGGACAATGAATGCGTGGAAAACGAATCCAATGAGATAATGCTGGATTCCGCACAGTAGATGTGACGACGAGTCGCGTAAAGAATATTTTTGCTATTATTGTTATTATTCGTATGAAATGCTGAGATATTTGAAAAACTCCGGACCACAGGTGTATGCAGTGGGCAACGAACACGCGCTGTTGTCCTTACCGGGGAGCAACGCACTTCACCACCACTAGCTGAGAGACAGGCAAGACGAAGGACCCGGATGGTGTGGTGGTGAAGTGCGCTGCTCCCCGGTAAGGACAACAGCGCGTGTTCGTTGCCCACTGCATACACCTGTGGTCCGGAGTTTTGCAAATATCTTAGCATTTNGCTAAGATATTTGCAAAACTCCGGACCACAGGTGTATGCAGTGGGCAACGAACACGCGCTGTTGTCCTTACCGGGGAGCAGCGCACTTCACCACCACACCATCCGGGTCCTTCGTCTTGCCTGTCTCTCAGCTAGTGGTGGTGAAGTGCGTTGCTCCCCGGTAAGGACAACAGCGCGTGTTCGTTGCCCACTGCATACACCTGTGGTCCGGAGTTTTGCAAATATCTTAGCATTTCATACGAGTTGTATTTCGCAACATACCCTGCCATTAAGAAGAAAAAGGCAGTAAATAAAAGGGTTAAGATTGTTATTATTATTACTATTATTACATTTTTTGCATAGCACCCAACATCCACGAAGATCTTCGAACTTCTTGCTTGGGTTGGAGTGCTGCTTTAGGTGTGTCACTTCTTTGTGAATATCGTTGAATGCTGATTGAGCCGATTCGCTGTAGAGTCGTTAGATAGGGTGTATAGAGCGTCCTCACTTGGATTGCAGACTGTGAACAGTTTCCAGACAAGTCTGCTACCAATTTCCCGATCCTGAAGATACGAAGGTCTGGTTCGAGGTCGAACCAACTCTAGGGTTGATTGCGCCGCCCGTGTCATGAACGGTATTAATACCGCTGCACAATCGGCTCCGAATGAATAGTATTGGAATGGAAAAGTTATAGTTAGCCATAATTCACAGGATTTATCTTTAAATTCCAACAACGTTTCCGAGCTGTATAAATGCAGCAGATGGAACCAGTAAATTCTGTTACGACAAAATAGGACTCGAGTAAAAAACTGTGCTGTTGAGGATGGCTTTCTGTCAAGTGCATGACCATTTTTGACCCACAGAAGATGTTCTGTAAGAATTATAAAAGTCAGTCAATAAATGCTGCAAGTAAAGTAACTTCTTCGCTATTGGCAATGTTCGTGTGTGCCTCTCTGGACGAGCTAAATAGAACAGAACAACATCGAATAAATTCTTAAACTCTAAGATTGTAAGGAAATTTTAAGCTTGCTGAGGAAACAAACTATATCGAAAATCCGCGTGAGATTCATGAGCTGTTTGTTTGCACATTGTACTGTTAATGAAGTTAATATTCTAAGCCTTGACAGAGTTTTGTTATGGTCACGTAAGATTTCGAATCGTTATGGACTAACTTTCTTGTCAACAATTTCCCGACGCTGCTCGTTCTTTTTCTTCACCTATATTTCCACATCATGCACACTGGTAACACTTCTTCCGGCGTCGAAGACGATTTTGCTTAGTTGTTCTGTCTTAAAGCGGAAATTAGCTCAGCCAACCAATCTCAATATACCACCAACAAAAAATTTCATTGTAGGCAGTGCACTCCGCTCTGGACCACGTTCTTATATGAAAAGATTGAACAGCTGAAAGATGTCAACTTGACCGAAGCGGAAAGAACAGAGGTGGGCCATTATTCTGAAGCGAACTCCATTGGTTAATTATTCCAAGTAATCTTATGCAAAAATGTGAAGTAATTGTTATTACCTCCCAACGGTTTACCGCCTCATCGTTGCTGGGAGGCGTCCCTGGGTGTCGGACTGCGGTGGCATTCGTCCGCCGGCAGGATCTCCCAAACTGAGAAGTTTTTCCGGAGTTCTGAGTCCGTTTCCATCAGAAAGCCTGGCTAAGAGCAAACCAATACCATGATCCACCACCGTCCTGGTATCAAAGTCGCATGGTGGCAAATCTCCCTGTGATCCACAAGGGTTGTGAGTGCCCGTGGTGGTGAAGACCTGGGCAGACCTTGTCCAAGCCGACTTCGGGATTCCAGGGAACCGTAGTGGTTTAACCAGCAAATCACCGAGAAATGGTGATTATGCTGAGGCCCGCACAACCAGTGAGGACGGACCGTTCAAATATCAAATATCAAGTAATTGTTATTATGTTCACGTCATTTATTTTCCAACATTCTCGTGGAGAAGAAAGCTTTGCATTAGAACGATTCGACTTCCTATGTGCTTCGTGAGTTTTAAGATCCAACGGTCTGTCAGTGACATGCAGCAATTGGAGAAGATGTACAACATCAACCATCTTCTGTTCGTCTTCTGGATACCATGTATCATCATAGTCATCAGTTACTTGACAGTGTTGCTTATTCTTCAGGGTCATTTGAAGGAAGGTACGTTGATCGATAAGAAATCCGCGCTCCTGTTTGTTTTCCCAACAGGCACAATTATAGTGATTTCGAAATCGATGCGAAAGAGTTATCTCGCATTTTCTAAGGTTTCTTTACCTTCTTATTTGAAAATCTGTGTAACTCTTTTTTGAGAATCGCAGCAAATTTGCACGCTGTCTCTCCTTCTGGCTAGAATTATCCCTTTCCTTTTCGTAATTATGTTACTTTTATGAATATTAACGTGTTCAGAACATGATCAAAATTCGCAAGTGCTACTAACTTTTTATGGACTGATTGAACCTTTAAGCCTAACTGGTATAACTACCAACTAACTGCTTGATACAGGTCCTCTTTCAAACAGCTTGGAAAATTTTTGCTGAATGCCTTTCCTCAAAGGGATTCAACATTTTTTCAATGCATGCTGTGAATCCGCGTAGAGATCTTGCTGAGGAATAGGTTTTCAATAAGTAATCAAACACCGTCCTCACAAAATGGCATTCTCAATGAGACTTCAACACCATAAAGTAGAAAAAATCACAACTAGAAATGAATACCATTGAAATAAAAAAAGCTTCAATTAAAAGAGAATGAGGGTTTTTTCAGAATACCATAGTCTTCCGCTAATGTCAGCTGTGGAGCAATTAGAAGAGGAGCCATCGAAATGCAAATCGAAGCGGTAAGTTTTCATTGCTATTGATGGAATATGGCACCTAAAAACAGCAATGGTCTCTATCAATGCTTTTTCTTCGAATTTCACCATTAGCGAGGTTTCCAGGGGTATCCTTACGTGATCGAAAAGTTTATGTTTCTAAAATGCAAAAGAATTTTTTTAAAAATAATCTAAAGAATTTTTTCTACTTTTCAACTAAGGGCATAAAAGACTTGGCGAAATCATCGGCAATTAAGCGAAGATTTTGTGTTAGCATTATTGTTTCGAGATCCAGTCGAGGAGGTCTTTTGAGGATCTTCCTTATAGCTCATTTTTCTCGTCTCGTAACGTTTTCGTGTCGTCGAAGTCCTTATCGATCGTTACTACAAGGGATATTGGACAATAGCTGCCTAGACTTAAGCGCTTTTGTTATCTACCTTTAGGTCTTTGCGAATGAAAAAAGTTCTATTACTTCTTTTTTTTACGAGTATCAGAGTCATTTCTGAACCGATATGAAGTTGTAGCTCATCGTTGTACTGAACCGATAGTTCATTGTAGTTTTCCATTAATTCGTTAACTATCGTTTTTTTCAATTCCATATTGATAATTATCGGAAGTTTTTCATTTTACATGAACCGCCGTCACATATAATGTGCGGTTCCCAGCACTTGTTTCATTCGATTCTTTTCCTTGCATTCGTCGTCCACAATGGTCCTGAAACATTTCTCGCGATGTTTCGCTTCTACTAGGATTTCGTCTTCTTGAAGAATGTCGTAGAATGCTGGTCAACTCGATTGTGCTTACGATCTTGCAGATAGCCGGAATAGGGCCTTCCGACGTGGATCGGAGTGGTCAAGCTAGCGCTTTTGCTTCCTGTTCAAGTGTATCACTGACCACTGCGCTATCACTACATTATTGAAAGCAGTCTCGCAAAATGTATGCTGCTGTTCTCTTTTCATATTTTAATGGCATAAAGCACGAAAACGATCATGGGTAAGGTCATGTGTATTGCAGGACACCTCTGAGCTTATCAAGTCTAGCAAGACGGTATGCGCTTCGGTTTGAGATTGATGCGTTTTTTTGGGGGAGCAAGGAGTCGAATTTTTTTAGGGCGGCATTAAAGGAGTTCGTGTAGGCAATGGTAAGAGATGTCATACACACATGGACTTTCGTTTGATCATGTGACTCGGGTTCTTCAAGTCTTCCATCCAATTGGCGCAAGACTTGGCTGTGAAAATAGTGGAAAAGCCTGTAAGGATGAAGCTGCGAGTTATGCATTGGGTTTCTAAGCATGGTCTTTTAAAGGAAGAAGAGTACCAAATTTAATTTCAATTCTAAAAATTTATTTTCTCTATTCTTCGTTGTTATTTGTATGCATTTTTCAGCAACTGTCCTCTTGCTGACAGCCAAACCGTAAAATCAGCACTTTCTCCTCGCTCTACGAATCCTGGTGCGATTGTTGTTTCCACCATACACAAAGCAAAACAGGTGAGTCTCTAAATTTTCATTACAACTCTGCATTTTTATAAACTCAGTTATCGCTGAAGTAATAATCCGAATTTATTTTGGCCTAAGTCTCTCATTCTCTACAAGGCGTTAATGCAGTCGTAGGTCAGTGAACACAGTACGTTGGACTAGTTGCCATTGAATGACTTTGTTTTCAGACACGGAATGCCGTCCCCTTTACAAATACACATGATTCTTTAGGCTTTTAAACTAAGTTTTGCGCAAAACTCATAACTTGGAGAAGAAAGAAAAAAATGATTTGTGTATCCAGCAAATATATTGCCTGTATAGGAAGTCACAATGTTCACTTTTTATTCACTGCCTTTTATAAGTTTCCATGGCAGGGTATTACGTGTGAGACAACCACAATGATGCTGAGATATTTGCAAAACTCCAGACCGCAGGTGTCTTCGGTGGGAAACGAATGAGCTATTGCCCTTTCCGGGGCTGACGCGTTCACAACCATGCCATGCGGGTCCTTCGTTTCACCTGTTTCTCAGCTAGTTTTATCTATCAATGCCATCAGCAATCACCAGTCAACGAGATTAGGAAGGCGAGGCCCAAATCAGCGAAACGCGAAATTATAAAATGATAAGCGAATGAGAGACAGGCGAAACGAAGGACCCGCGTGGTGTGGTGGTGAGGACGTTTGGCATCATTGTGACCTCTGTCTTAATCCTCTTCTTGCCCATTCATCTACAACTTGCGGGTGTTCCAGCTAGACTAGCAGACAGCAGAGAGTTTTATGTCCGTAGGTTAGTTTCTGGGATTCTTTGACATTTTTCTGGGTGTAGGGAATTTGAGTCATGCTGATCCTTTGTACGGACCCATTTTTTCGTGGTACCGGTACCCGAAGTAATCGTAAAATGTGATTTTTTTATAACCAACAGACTGGCCATTTCTATGTGTCCTCCATTATACTGTAAGGGTTCTTTTACGATTAGTGTTTTCTGCCAATACATTTCCAGCGTTTATTTTCCCCATTTCATTTGGCTTTTCAGACATCGTTCTTTTGAAAATATGATGGTGTCGGCTACAGAAGTAATGAAGTAGAACTCCTGCCTTTTAGATTTCTTACTATGGAAACCACTCCAACGATATTTTTGCCTTTACATTTTTAAATCTTTCTGAAAGGATCATTTGCACCTGCTACCTATTCCCGGCCATGTTAGGCATATTGTAGTCCAATCTAGCCTCATCCTTTTCTTCCCACAAAATTGCTTATTGGTAGTAGTGACGTAGGCAGAATTTTTTGACTGAAGAAGTGAAGGAGATTTGGTACCGTTTGAAAGACTTCTGATAAAGAAATTCGTAATCAGCATTCGGATCAAGCTAATTATATCAGTCATGCACCGAGAAAATAGTTTCATCTAGTCTGTTCTCGTTACATACAGCTTACCTATTAGTTCCTAGGTGATTGTAATTTTCTGCCACATTGTAGCCGAATCGAGTTTTTATTTATTGATGTTAGCACGATTTCTTTTTATGAATTCAGGAAATAGGTGAGTTAGGGATTTCAAGGTGCCTATTGCAATTACAAAACCGACAGGTGTAGGACGAAGAAGCGTAGCAGCAGTACAGCAACTTTAGGAAACCAAGTTCTTTTCAGAATAGTACTGTCTTCTGTACTAATCGCTGCAATGTATGGACTTTAGTCCTTTTCAATATCAGTAGTTGGTGCATTCACCTGTAAGTTTCATATAGTCGGTCTGGATATTTCATATTCTAACGGCATTGAAGTAAGTTTAAAAAACTATCAAACAGGTTATGAGCATCGTTGAATAGAGAAATCGGAACTGTAGCAAATATGCGAACCTATCAAATGCAAATCCTATAAACTGCACGTAAAATTCAGATTGTTGATTATATCAAAACAGCTCGGTGCTTAATCTGAACAGGATCTGTGGTGCTCAAGCCCAGACAACTTTATTCGTGCTTCTTTTACAACATGTACGTATTTTTCTTCTTTTGCAGCACGCTAAACGGCAAGCAACATGGATAATCCTAGCATATCTGACATTTTGGAGCCCCTACAACGTACTTGCTGTGCTGAACATGACGCGAACACTCTCCGACCATCAGGTCTTTGCCGTCACGCTGTCATTTCTTAACGCCGCTATTTGTGCCAACCCGATTGCGAATCCTTTGATATACGGTGTTTTGAAGGATGGCAGTAAACCTTAAATCGTGTGTAGATTCTCTACATGAGGAAGAAATGCTGGTTTTTTTGACAATGTTAAAAGTTGTCACTGCTGTCATCTTGTGAATTTCAAGTTAACAAAAGGTCAACAGTGCTTCTTCAGAAAATGTTTGACTTTTCCCAAGGTATTTAGTTGTCCTAGCTTCTGTTTTACTGGCTTCCATTGTCTTATACGGAGTCGATAAGCGGCCTGTATATGACCAACTTTAGCAAGTTTATCAAAATAACTGCTTCAATAACGAGGTCAAATAGTTTTTTCTTTCTCGTTTAATACATTTGTTTGTGTTAAAGGATTTAGCCTATTCCGGGTTTTGTACGTATTTTTTGCTGTTGTTCGCCTACACTACTTGTCGAGTCATTCACTACTAAACGTTTTTATTCCGAGACCAGCGACTATCGATGACGAAAAAAAAGTCTATAGAGTCTAAATGAAGTGAAAAGAATAAAGTGTGCAAATACGAGGCATTACCTCATCCTTTATTCCGGTAAAGCTGTCGCTTGGCAGTATCGCCATCTTGAGAGTCTGGAAAGGTAATGTAATATACTATGCCAAATGCTTCAATGGCACAAACAGAAAGAGGAATATCTGGATAGTAATCACATGATTAATAGCTTCTCGAAAAACTCACTGTTTTTCACGTGTCTTCCACTGAGGAAGAGTAACTCCTTAGAGTCGCATATGGTTGATGAGAACTCCATCCTACATCAAAAATTGACTCGAAGATACTGGGCTAGACCACCTGTGGCGTTTCTGGTATTTATCCAAAAAGCCTCAAGAAGTTTGCGCGTTGGCGTTTTGGCATCCTATGCGAGGACAACGACCGTTATATCAAAATCGTCTCCGTTATGTTTTTGTACCTTACGCGTCCCTAGTGGTGTACTCAGCTCTGCTTTTCTTTTGCCATCAAGATGTTTTTTTATGCGGATACATAAAGGTCTACCCATCTCGCTAATATGTTCATCTCAGCAATTACTACAAGAGATCAGGTATATCGTACCTGAAGTCATGCAATCACCGCCACTGCCTTAAGGGCAAATTACGCAGTTTTGTGTTTAACATAGACGGTCATATAGGCGGTTACAAACTGGCAGACGATGAAGAGTGTTAGCTGCTTTTCCAATTATCGCTACCGTTCTTCTAGATTTACCTTTCCTAAGTATCGACTTATAGCAGCACTTAATTCATCGCTAATTGGCAAGATAAATGTGATGTTTCGGCCAAACCATTAGTTTTGGGAAGTCGTTCTAAACTTTTCTCGTGAGATTATTTTTTCATAGCCACTGGAGATAGCTCTTTGGCGAACCAAGTTGCACGTTTCCTGCTTCAGTTCCCTCTTCGTAGACACAGAGGTGTGTGTCCGAAACGTGTTTCTCACAAGTTCCGTTTTTGCGTGTGAATGATGGGAAAAGAGGAAACGAACTAGGATGTTTCTGTGACTTGGTTCGCCCTACCACTTTGTCATGTAACCACTATCTGACAAGTTAATTTTAGCGCTAAGAAATGGAAGCCAACTTTCTTTCGGTTTCTATCAGGCAAATTTAATGTACTCAGACTGCTCGCTCAATTATTCAAAGCATTTGCGTCTCCTCCTGCGCAGAAAAGATGACAAAATAGTCGTCTATATGGGAATGGCAATGAATCATCATCTGTATCTATGGAAATATCTGAATATTACCATCATATCTATCATCTATCTATCCATCTATCTATCTATCTCTCTATCTATCTATCTATATCCATCTATTTATCTACCTATCTATCTATATCTATCCATCTATCTATCCATTCAATGTGTGGGGATCATCTATATGTCTACAGTAGAGTAGCAGCCGGGTGTCAAGAACGTAGGCTTCTATTTTACACATAAATGCAATGGCAGGACTTGGTGCCAGTCGCTGTCTCATTGCCAGCCCTCTCATTTGCGCATAGTATTTCTCAGACCATCTAAAAATCGAGCAGTTCAGGCACTCTTTTAAAACAGCCATAAGTTGCTGAATAGACAAGTCATGCATATGTATTGCCCATTTGTATAGTGAACAAGAAATTCGAGGATGGTTTTCACTGCGGAGCAATTCGATACCATGGTCTAAAGCACGGAAGCGTCGAAGCAATCCATGACATAAGCGTGGTAAGGAGACGCGTTACGTAAACGTTTTAGGAACATTTGCTGTTTTTGGGGCCAGCTAAAATATGGTTAAGCAGCTGGCTAAGTATTCAGCTGTATCACCTGTAGCCCCGTTGATCGTCGAGTGACTCGAGCGTGCGCCAGTAAATCTACTTTTCCCTGTCGCGTGCAAGAGTAGTCCAGTGGGTTCTACTAGCTCTAGCGACTCGTCGAGCATCATATCTTTCTTCTAGGCTCTTTGTGAAGAATTTTGACCATCGAGTCGGTGGTCTTCCTGCAGTGCGTTTAACATCCCGAGGAATCCAGTCACTAACGGCTCATGTCCATCGGTTATCATTCATACGTGCTACGTGTCCGGCCCATCTTATCTTCGACTGTTTGGCGCACAGAACGGCATCTTTGATTATTGATCGCTGGAGTGACCTTTAATCCTGCTTACCCAGCGACCAGGTTTCTGACGCATACGTTAGGAAAGGACAGTACCGTTGAGTCGAAAAGGCAGGCACGGAGTCGGGTGTTCTTTGTTCTCTTCACTACATCCTCGATGCTCTCGAAAGCTTCCCAAGCCGCTTGCTTCCTTCTGCTCAGCTCTGGAGCAAGGTCGTTCATCACATTGATTTCCCGATTACCCGACCTAGATAGATGAAACTGGAGCACTCGGAGATACTCTTTCCGTTGAGCGTGAATGGGGCATGCGATACCAATCCGTTCTTCATGAACATCGTTTTTGTGAGATTTAATTGAAGACCAATCTTTCCAAAAGCTTTATCAAAGTCGTCAATAATACGTTCCGCTTGGCTAATGTTTGGTGTTATAAGGACGATGTCATCAGCAAAGCGAAGATGGTATAACTGCCGACCCTCAATTTTCACTACCATATTATCTCATTCCATTGTTTGCATGACGTTCTGGAAGGTGGCGGTAAATATTTTTGGCGTGATGGCATTGTCTTGCCTTACCACTCTTTTGACGTCGATGTTAGTATCGCTGTAGAATGGTGATATCTTGGTTGTGAAATTTTTGTATAGATCACGAAGAATCTTTGCGTGCCGAGTAGGGACTTCTTGACCATCAAGGGCTTCCATGACTGCGTCTATCTCAATTGAATCAAAGACCTTCTTTAAATCGATGAAAGTGAGACAGAGCGGTCTTTTCTACTCTCGTGATCCTTCAATGAGTCTTGTTATCGCGTCGATGTGGTCCATCGTACTAAATCCTTTTTGAAATCGTGCTTGCTCACATGGCTGTCCCTCGTCTAGTGTTCTGTCAATCCTGTTTGGGATGACTCGAGCGAAAAGCTTGTGGACGACAGACAGTAAGCAGATTGGGCGATAGTTGCCGTTATCGTGAAGGTCACCTTTCTTGAACAATAACACGATCTTGCTGGTTTTTCACTTAGTAGGGACCTTGCATTCAGACAGGTAACGTGTGAGGAGCCGAGCCAGTGTGTTTACGAGGACTGACGGAAGGTTTTTCAGGTGTTCTGGTCTTACCCTGCCCAGAGTTGGTGCTGTTCGATTTTTCACCGACGAAATGGCATGTCGGATTTCGGAAGGCAGGACCGGTGGCACAACATATCCATCCTCCATTATTTCATATGACGGATGGTGGACGTGGCTATCAAGGAGATCTGAGTAGTATTCTTGAATGATTTTTTCCATTTCCTTTTTGGACGCTGTAACTTTTCCATCTGCGCGTCGGGGTGCAATCATTTTGGTCTTGTAATTGGTGAAGCTTCGGTGAGCTTTGCTAATGGCTTTCCAATCCTCTGCAACTTTGGCCATTACTGCAGCTTTTTTTCCTTTAAGATCTTCTTTTATCGCCTGTCTGCATTGTTTTGCAAGTTCGGACGTTAGTTCGCGGTTGCCTACAGCTCGCGCGACTCCACGCTGGCGTATCAGCTCGAGTGTTTCTGGAGACAGACGTCCTTGGTGGCTTTCGAGCTCATAGCTTTCATAGCGCTAACGTGAAGATATTGAATGAGCCGATCATATTATTTTTGATGTTATCGGCAACACCACTTTTCCAGCAACCGAATAGTGAATTGAATAAGTCCCATTTTGCGGTGGTTCTGGGAGTTCAGTTTTGGATTTTAGCGGCTTTTTCTCCTTTCCGCGAGAAATAGAATTTTGCAGGAAAGAGACCTTGGTCTGATCCCGTGTAGAATTTTCGGACAACTGTGATATCTGTTAGGTTAATGTTGTGGTACTCTCCCTTGCGAGACTCCCACGTCCAGCGTTGAGGGTGGGGATTCTGGAATTGCGAGTTACCATGGATTGTCTTGGTCACCATAATAAAGTCAGATAGCCGCTCACCCTGTTCGTTCCATTCTAATCCGTGAGCCCCAATGTGACGTTCTCCAAACGTTCTTCTTGGTCCAATCTTGGCGTTGAAATCTCCAATGATGACCTTGAAGAACGCGTGGTCTTAACTGTAGAACTTCTCCAAGTCCATATAGAACGCTTCGACTTCTTCTTCGTCGTAGTTTGATGTCGGCGCGTAAACGACGAAGATTGTCAAAGCCGGAATCGATCCACGTTTTCTTAATCGTAAACTCCGATTCGGGTTGTAAGTTGTTCGAACGAATCGATGTACATAGGCAAACTCATGTTCACGAGAACGCCGACGCCGCCGACTCCTCTACTGTCGCTTGTTCCGAGGAGCATCGGCGTTGAAAGAGTGGCGTCGTCTCGTCTCGGCCAGACCGATGAAGTCGTACTTTGTCCTTCTTGGAGGCATGACCAAGTCTTTAATCGAGGGCTCGGATGCAAGTGTACGTGTATTGTAGGCACAGATCGTCACCATAGTTCTTTGAAATCCAGTGGCCCTGACATTTTAGCAGCCTCTCCGTACTCTTT